ATCCTAACCTTTTCATTCTGTCACCAGTATCTATGCGGTCCGTTGCTGTATAGGCAGACCACCATCTTGTGAGGCTGATCTTGCTGGCAATCTCGGCCATTTCATAAAGTTGGCGACGTAATACGAGAGGCCCTTGTGGTAAAACAAAGGCGTACAGTGCTACCATGAGACAGATTCTCGCTGTTTTTGTGGCTTGGGCTGTAAATTGGGTTTGGTTTTTTTTTGTTATTATAGTCACGTGCATTACTATTTGATTCTCGTTTCACCGATGTTGGAACCTGGCTTTAGTGAAAATGTGGAGTGGCAAACTTTTTCTTTATGGGCACGAGTATTTTTTCTGTTATCTCATAGAAACATTTAACTGAGTTCTATTTGGCTGGTTTTTACTATTGGTAATTACAAAGAATAGAGCATAACGGGGTTTTAACATTTAAACCCAGGTACAGAAACATTTCTTTAAAAAGTCTAAAAAACTGAGTTAACACCAGCTTTGCTTTTTAGCAATGGCACTACTGAACTGCAAAAAAGTGAGTGCTTTAAATAAAAACACAGTACTATGAAAGGGTAATCTGAACCAATAATTAGTCCTCGACTTAACGACCACAATTGAGCCCAAAATTTCTGTTACTGAGGCAGAAATGAGTTTTGTCCCATTTTACGACTTTAGTTGCCACAGTTGTTAAGTAAATCAGTGCAGTTGATAAATTAGTAACATGTTTGTTAAGTGAATCTGGCTTCCTCATTGATTTTGTCAAAGGCTTGCAAAAGGTGATCACATGACCTTGGGGCACTGCATAAATATTAATCAGTTGCCAAGCATCTTAATTTTGATCACATGATCATGGGGATGCTACAAGGGTCGTAAGTGTGAAAAATGGTCCTTTTTTCAATGCTGCTGTGAACAGTCACTAAATGAACTATTGTAATCACTACCTGTAGTGATTCAGGAGATTCTCTTATTCACTGATAAGACTTTGGGTAAATAATAGAGAATGTGAAGAACAAAAGTGACATACCAAAATAAAACAATAAAGCCAAAATAAGATCAAAGACAAATTACAATCATATTTACATTCTCAACTATTGCAAAATGAGCTAATCCAATGCCCTTGCCCAATGCCTGGGGCAGGAGCCAAATTTTCAGTGGTGTACAGGCCAACAGGATTGGGACCATCCAAATCTCAGATATACTAATCCAAAGGGTAGACATCACGACAGAGAAGTTGCATTTTCTGAAAATGACATGGGATTTGGAGCATGCCAACCCTACTGAATCTTGTGGAATGGGCAGAAACAATTTTAGATATGCAGTCCCTAAAATAACCTGGCCATGTCATAAAGAACTTCATAGGTTATAGATAGCACTTTGAATTGCACCCAGAAGGCAATAGGGAGACAATTTATGAAATGGGTGTTAGTTCCTACCTGATACGCCCTTTCCCAGGACGATGGATACATCATCCAGGCATGGGTATGACTCCGTGAGGATCCAATACGACTGGGTCTACAAGTATTAAAGACACGCCCACGAGGCTCCTCCTCCTCTGAAATAGATGAAGGGGTGACTTGATAGATATTATTTCTCCCCAAGGTAAGCAACAGATAACAAAAACAGGAGTAAGTCAAGGTAAAAGAGTGGGGCTGGATGATGTCTCCACTGTCCTGAGAAAGGGCATATCAGGTAGGAACCAATGCCCATTCTCCTAGTAGGTGGAGACATCATCCAGATATGGGACATACCAAAGCCCAATAGTCCCATCGGGAGGGAATGGAATAAGATAAGAAAACTTAAGTAGAAACCACTTGCTGCAACACGTGTCGTCTGAATGAAGCGTCTGCTGAGGCGTATCTATCGAGCTTGTAATGGCGGATGAATGGAGAAATAGAGGTCCATGTGGCTGCTCAGCATATTTCCTCCAGCGAAACTTGAGATGACCAGGCAGCAGAGCTGGCCACGCTGCATGTGGAGTGCACCGTGATATGGTGGAACAGGCAGAGAGAGTGCAGAATATGCTCTAGAGATAGCCGCCCGTACCCAACGGCCAATGTCAGAAGAAGAGGCCTTAGAACCTTTCTTACCTCCCAGCAGGAATTTCCTGAAAAGAGCCTCAGATCGCCTGAAAGTAGCAGTTCGTTTAATATAAACACGTAAAGCACGCCGTACTTCAAGATAGTGCCATTTACGTTCCAGTTTGTGAGATGGCTGAGGACAGAAGTCAGGAAGGACCAATTCCTGGGTTCTGTGGAATACAGAATTTACCTTAGGTACAAAGGCCAGATCAAATCGGAGGACCACCTTATCTGGATGAAAGATGCATAAATCTTGTCTGATGGACAAAGTTGCCAACTCGGAAACTCGCCTCGCCAAAGTGATGGCTATAAGAAAAACCACTTTTAATGTCAAATCATGTAAGGACACAGAATGCAAAGGCTCAAATGGAGACTGAGTTAAGGATTCCAGGACTTTGGAGACATCCCAAGTCAGGAATCTGTGTATTGTCGGCGGCTTGATGTTTGTGGCACCTCTCAAGAAACGACAGATAAGAGGGTTATGAGAAAGGGGCTGAGCAGAAGTCAGAGAGAGGACTGAGGACAGGTCCATGACCTGGCGACGAAGTATTTGGCGAGAGTCCCAGATCCAGCCCCTATTGGAGAAACTGGAGAATATAAGGAACAGAAGCCTGTAGAGGAACAATGCCCTTTCTATGGCACCAGACAGAGAATTGTGTCCAAGTGGCATCGTAAATGCGGTTAGTAGAAGAGCACCTGGAGGCTTGAATTGTGTGAATAACCTCAGCGGACAGATTGGCAGTCCTTAGAGCTTCCTGCTCAAGCTCAAAGTGGTGAGACGCAACCAAGGAAGGTCGGGATGCTGGAAGGTCTATGTCCGGGGTGACACTACCATCCCCTTCAGAATCAGAATCCCCTTGAAATCCAATCACATCCTCTGGGTTTAAGGGAGAAGCCGGGGGGGAGATATCCCCATCGGTATCGGTAGAGAGATCTTCAGTGGGATTGAAATTTGTTGGAAGGGAAGCCCGAGGGGCAGAGATAGGAATAGAGCAATGATTGGTTTTAGAAGTGGCCTTTCATGGAGCAGGGTCAGAGGCCTTGTCAAGAACTGCACCCGGGGTAGTCACATTTTGGGCCTCCTGAGGTGGGGCAGGCCTAGGGGCCTTAGCAGGCCTGGCAATAGAAGGCTGGGAGGCATGAGCTCTTTCTAGATTCAGAAGGGACCGGAGTAGAAAGGACAGCTGGAGTAGGTGGATCATCCCCCTGAGAAATCATGGTCTCGTTGGTCGACATTACTCACGGTTACCGAAGAGTCCCAAATTGGTCATGGCAGGCTTCCGCCTAAACAAAATGGCCACTGCAGACTTCACACTTAAAACAAATGGCTACCCAGGTAGACAGGGCTGAGGTAGCGAGCCGACAAGGCGGTGTAGCGCTAGGTAATTATGCTGCCCGCCAAACGCTCCAACATCAGGAGAGTGAAATTTGAGGCCGTAAGAAAGACACTGCTGAGGCGGCAAGAAGCAGCGGCGCTCGAAACGCCCAGTGCTCCAGCGGCTCCGGTGGTTGCCATGATTAGAAACGGCATCTGATTGTGAAATCGAGGGTCATCAGGCAGCATGGCTGCAGCGATCAGCTCTTCAGGCAGCGAGGCTGCAGCGATCAGCTCTTCAGGCAGCACGGCAGCAATGAGAGACAATGAAAGGAGCCTGAGGGAAAACCTCAAAGGGAAGCCGCCAATGTTCTCCGCTGATTGAACAGCCAAGTCAGGGAGAGGCAAGAGCCTGCTAGAGGCTACAACGCCTTAAGAGCGCGAACAATTAGTGCCAATTGTACACAATTTGAAAGAAAGCCAATTAGAGAATTTTTGGTAGAATTTTAGAAAAAAACAAATTAATTAGTAAGGAGAGATAGAGAGACACAGCTAATCAAAGGATTGACTGAGTCTATTTCTGGGGAGGAGGAGCTTCGTGGGTGTGTCTTTAATACTTGTAGACCGTCGTATTGGATCCTGATGGAATCATACCCATGCCTGGATAATGTCTCCACCTACCAGGAGAATGGAGGTATTACATGTATGTATTGTGATTCATTATAACTCTTGTGGAAACCAATTGTAGCTACCAAATGTTTTCAAGGACAGCACATTACTGAAGTTCAAGAAGTTGACCAAGGTACAATTAATGCCCAAGACTGATTTTTGCGAAGTCCTATTGGCCACAGCTTTTCCTTGAGGGGCTGAGGGTCTCAGGAGGGGAGACCCAGTTTTTTTCTTTAAGGAGGGGCTGAGGGTCTCAGCACACCCTCTCCCAAATTGCACAACAATTTTGTCTGTAGGAGTATATCTAAAACTAAAGGTGGAAGATCTCAAGATCCATATCTAAAATTCATAGCTACTTAGTTTTGCTAGATTTAAGCCCAAACTGGATTTTTCCACTTCTAGCTTCTAGAAATTGGGGAAGGCAGCTTTATTTCCTTGGCCAGGGTAGTTTAGCTGAGTATTATCAGTGCATAAACTCCATGCAGATGAAGGGCCTCATCCAGCAGTTTCATGTGGAAGTTAAATAGGAGCAGACAGCCCTGACAGATCCCACAAAGAAGTGTATAGCGAGACGTTTTCTCCTCCAACGCACACCAAATGAAGCCTATCCTGGAGGAAGATTAACCACCACAGCAAAGTGCCCTTCCATCCTCGACGCCAAAAGACAATCCGCAAGGATACCTGAACAATAGTATCAAACATCACTGAGCAACTGCGGGAGGACAGCAGTATGGATGCACCCCCTTCAATCCCATCAAAGATTATTAAGCATCAATGGTATTTTGGTATTATATACCAGTCATCCCAAGTGAAAAGCATCCAGATATTTTCCCTGTAGTATTTTTGCCACCAAATATATAATTGGTGCAGAAGACTATAATTTGATATATCTAGTAAATTCTCTCAAAAATTGGATGGGGGGAAGAAACCACAAAGAATTTTTTTTTCTGTTTTATTTCAAAAACAAACAACAAAACACACTTCAGCAGCAAAAAAGAAAAATATTACAAAAAGAACACAAAGAAGGGACTGGAAGATACAAGATGTTTGGTGTGATTTCTTTCCACATTTATTCAAGTTCCTTGTAGCGGGCAAACATGACTCTCCGCACTGCATCTCGATATGTTTCATTAGATTGCCTTCTATTGGGCCTTCCTTGTGTTCCTAAGCCTGCTCCCTTCTTCCGATTTTCTGCCTGAAAAAAAAGATATGTAAATCTCATTGAAACAATTATACTTTTATTGCCAGAGAGGAAATAGGTTTTTTAAAATAATATTTCAATCTCCTTTAATTATCTATAATTATTAAGCAGTAAAAATTAAATATTTCCCTTGCTACTTTTATGCAAGAGAGAATTTTAACTTATAATATTATGCTTATTTCATTCTAGAATTTATTTCTGGCATGCAAGATCAATCTAGCCCCTGCGCTATAACCCACATTTCAACATATCTACTCCACTACTTCCCTCCAATTAAGTCCTAAAGGTAGCTATTCTTACTAAAACAAACCCTCAAGGACCCCAGAGCCATTAATCCCAGAATCAGCTAGATGAGATATTTTCTAGACAGGAAATCGCTACAGTAAACTGTATCAGATCAATTTCCAGTAGGGCAATACCTTGGATGCTGCAATTATGGTGGATTTCATGTAAACAAACGAAAATTTGTTTCCTGATCTCAGTGACCAGGAAGAAGTAGGGGGAAAAAAATCCTTGAGATAATCATGCTAGGTACATGTGACCTAGAAAATTAACTAGGTATATGGGACCAGTTGCATGCAAATCCATAGAGTTCAATATCCTTTCAGGAAATGAAGAAGCGAAATTGTATCTCATGCTCAGATTATGAAAAATAATGTTTGCTCCTTCTTTCTGACTCTGCATATTTCAAGTAATAATTTTATCATGATAGAAACAGATTATTTTTGGACCATGCACCCAAATTGTATCTCTTCTGGAGTATTTATTGCTCTCTTTTTAAAAAAAATCAAGTATTATTATTAAGCTATTCAGACTGATATTATTCTGTATACTGTAGCTTTTTAGTGAAGACTCTCAAACATTGCAAATAAAGACATCAAGTAATTTTTCAAGTCATTCTTGATTACTGGTGTTTACATAGATTTATCCATGCAGTCTTCTTGACAACAATACAGATGTCAGGGTTCTGACCGATGCCCTCAAAAGCAAGTAAGGAATGCTTCGCAAGTTGACAACAGAAGCAATTTGACAATTACTCCTCCTATGATGTTTTTCCAACTTCGAAGCTTTGTTTCTCAACATTGATTTTTATAATAATCTCGAATTCAAATATTAGCTGGATATAACATTACTTCGTTTTTTAAGCCAAGGTCATCTAGATGCTGCTTGTTCAGTAAACATTCATTTGTAAAGAAAGGATATTTACCTCTACTGGTGAGGTCATGCCTTGTTCATTGCGCCCTAGCCCCGAGCCTTCCTTCCAGCCCATAGCCTGCATCATTCGGCTTCCTTTGTTATTGGTCTCCATTCTTCCTTTGTCTGTGGTCTTATACTCGCTGCAAACAAATACATGTGGGACATTTTAAGAAATGCACAGTACGTTTTGTATACATGCTTATAGGTTAACTAGAATCTTAGGAGCCAGGCTGTCAGGTGTACTTAGATTTTTCTTTCAACATAGACATTAGCCAAGTTCAGCCTGAAAGACATGCATCTGTAATCCAGTATATTTTAAATTTACATAACCAATATAAGAGAATCTTAATGCTTAAGAAGTAACATGTTAAATAATTCTGTGTATGCACTTTCTTTCTTACAATATGTGAGTTATATTGGATCAAGCTAATTTTTGCATCACTGCAAAAATTCCAGTAACTAAGGCTAAATAGTAAATACAAAACTTAACAAGCCATTTTATTTCAATGTTATATTTTATTTTTAAAGTAAAATAACACACACACACACACACACACACACACACACACACACATTCTGTTTTATCATTAAAATCCCAAAGCAGGGCTATAATTCATCATAAAAACAATCCCAATACTTAAATTATATAATTGTAAAATATATTAATTCCAAACACTGATTTTATCACAGTCTCATGCCATTTAAAAAGACATAGAAGTAGCTGCAAGGACTTATTTCATGAGGCTGTGTCAATACCTGTCAGAATTTCTGAAGTATTTTGGCCGTTTTCTCTCTGGAGATTCTCGTTCATCAAATCTCTCTCTTCGATCATTTCCCTTTTCTTTAAATTTTCCCTTTTTAGTAGAAAACAGAATTACTAAAAATGCTTTTACTGATATTCCCTCAACTCCCTGCTAGGGAGCCTTAACTGAAAGCCCATGCATGCCCAGCTAAACCAAGAAAGAAAAATCTGCAGTCATAGAAACCCAGGGCTGGAAGTAATCTTGGAGTTCTTCTAGTCTAATTTCCCACCCATGGCAGGAGACCTTATTCCATTCCAGACAAATGGTTGTCCAATCTTTTCTTGAAGACCTCCAGCAATGGTGCTACTACAACACTGGGATGTAAACTGTTCCATTGGTTAACTGTTCTCACTGTCAAGAAATTTCTCCTTAGTTCCAGGTCAGATCACTCTTCAATGAGCTTCCTCCATTACTTCTTGTCCTGCCCTCAGATGCTTTGGAAAATAAGTCGACCCCTTCTTCTCTCTGACAACCGCTCAAATACTGGAAGACAGCTATTCTTTAATGAAAAGAAGGACTAGGGGTGACATGATACCATTGTTCTGATATCTCAGAAGAGGGAGTCAAGCTATTCTCCAAAGCACCTGAGGGCAGGGCAAGAAGCAATGCATAGAAACTAATCAAGGAGCGAAGCAATCTAGAACTAAGAAGAAATTTCCTGACATTTAGAACAATTAATTACGTGGAACAACTTGCCTCCAGAAGTTGTGAATGTTCCAACACTGGAAGGTTTTAGGACAATATTGGATAACCATTTGTCTGAAATGGTAAACGGGGTTGGATTAGAAGCCCTCCAAGAAGCCCTTCCAACTCTTGTTATTCTACACTATATCACCCCTAATCCTCTTCTTTGATAGACCAAACATACCTCGTTCCCTTAACTGTTCATCATATGGTTTACCCTTATCATCTTTGTTGCTGTACTCCATTCTCTCTCTAGGATCTCAGCATCATCTTTTTTGTATCATGGCAACGAGAACTGGAAACAGTATTCCAAGTGTGGTCTCACTAGTGCCATATAGAGCAGTGCTATCACTCCTCATGATCTTTATGCTCTCCTCTTGTTGATGCAGCCCAGGATTGAACTTTTTGTCAGTTGCATGCTACTGGTTTATATTTAAATGATGGTCCACTAGGATACCAAGTTCCTTTTCATTACTGTTTGAGCCAAGTACCATCTATTCTCTACCTGTGCATTTGGTTTTTCCTGCCTAAGTTCAGGACCTTACTTTTCTCACCACTGAACTGTAAAAGTAAAAGCATTACTTTGGATTTACACAGTGGATGTTCCTGCCTGCATCTAAGAACATGAATGCATCCAACAGATGGGGCACACATTGATTTAGTGTTTTGTTCTTTTATAAAAACCCTGTTTGCTGAAGTCATATTGCAGCAGATATAAGGCAAAAATAAGTCTTTTAGTCACCTCTCGTTCTCGCTTCTCCAAATATGCCAGTTCTTGCTCTGATCGTTTTATTTTCCAGTGAATCTCTAAGTTTTGCTGTAAGAAAAAGCAAATCCTTAAAATGTCAGCATTAGGATTAGCAATAGATATTTGTGAATAAGGGAAACCCCAGAGTAAATTGTAATACCAAAGGCTGCCAAAGTTCTACGAAATGCATAGCACAATAAGAGGAAACTTATATCAAGTTACTCATTAAAACAGCCACATTTTTTTCCAAGATGAGATCATAGTGTGCTCTTTGTATTTAACTGTTAATTTTAATTAATTGAATTATATGAATGTTCTGTTGAAGAAGTCAAAATCAGCTGCTTTGAGAATCTCTGATGATGAGCCCCACATATTTCCATCTAAACTACTCTGATCTTTCTTAAAACATCACATGCCTCCTCTCCTTTCAAATATCACCATAGATTTAATACATCTGTATTGTGATCAGCAAAAATTAGAGTTTGCTTTAAATCAAAGTTAAGATCAAGATTTAGAATAGAGATCTAATTCTTTGTCATATTTTTATATTTTGTCACTTAATACTGAAAACAATAAAGCAATTTGATTACATTTACCAAGTAAAGATGTACATACTATATCTGAAGGAAGCATGTGTGAAACACGGAACTTCGTTTTTTTCCAGTTTCCAGTAACAATTTAATGTTCTACTTTGAACACTTCTACTACTAAGAAAACAATTCTTATGGCAAGTCCATTTTCCCATTCTAAATCATTCTAAGGAGACAGTTTACATTGCTTAATTTTTTTTAGTTGACATAATAAGAAATATCCTCAATTGTGAATAGCACAGCTGGTTTTTTACTGAAGATTCTACCTGTTCCTATAGCAGCCCTAATTTCTTCTCAGTTATCAAAGCCATGTCCTTAAGAATTAACTAAAAGAAACAGTCCAATCTATTAATTTTCAACTGAAGGTGTTTGGGTAGGTTCCTTCACTATCACAATGTTTGCACGGCAGTATGGTTCAGAATTCAGAACTGAAATACTTAATCTGAAAACCTGTTTAATTTCTGGTTGTGCTTCTGTCTAACTGCCAAGTGAAACAAATTTACTAAATATACAGCTGAAGTTCTCAGAACATATTGCTGCCTTTCTTACTTTGTGAAGATTGGATAGTTGTTGATGTTTAATCAGAACCTCTTTATTTGGAAACTGCCTCCGGCAAAGTAAACATGCTAATTTATTCCAGTCCGTCAGTTTATCTTCATCGCTTTCAACCTTTTGGGGCCTTTCCTCTTGCTGGACTACTGGCCGTGATGGCTGTGGCTGTGGCTCTTCGTCCTCTTCTTCCTCGTTGTCACTATCTCCACCATATTCTCCCAAAAGCTCTATCAGAGGATTCACCACCTTTGGCTGTAGAAAAGGGATAAAAGAATGAATCCACATGTAGAATTGAAGCAAATCCAGTCACTGTGTTTGGATGCCTCAAATGACTAATATGACATCAAGAATACTATGCTTCCATATGAGCATATAATTAATGTATTATATAGAATAATAAATAAGTTATACATCAGAAAGCAGATCCAAATTCAAATTCTACTTTACCATGAACTAATCTAATGGCATTTCTTTATTATCTGTAATACAGGGGATGTAGTCATAATGTAATGACTTGAAATTTTAAGTGGTTATGCAATCATGCCAAAACAAATGGAATACTTTTTAAAATATAAAAATTAAATTTTAAATAAAGGCAGGCAATAATAGAGTTACAAATAAACTTGCAATATTACCATTATTTACCACTTACATCTTAATACACTAGCTATGCAATTACAGAGTGGGAGCCATGTTAATATACTACTAAAATTTGAACCCAGATCCTTCCTATTCAATTTTTTTACCTTTTTAACCCTTTTTTTACCCTTTACCTTTGTTCTCAAATTTACCTGTATCTCTCTCAAACCTGAACATCATTCATGCTGAAATTACATTGACTTGTGTGAAAACTATGCTAATGTTTCCCTATGTAAATAGCTTCTGATAAAAAAACATGTTTTTCCTTATTTATGGATTATTTAAAAGGAACATATTTTAATAATTTCTACTTTATCTTATTTCACCTTAATCTGTCAACATCAAGTTGGCCAAAGTACTGTATAATACTGAACAGATTACAAAAATAAAAGGCAGCTCCCGTCTTCAGTAACATGCAGATACATTGTTAAGCTATATGAACTGAAAGGACAAATGAAGGTCTTCTTTTACTAAAAGACTAGGGCTAGATGAAGGCCGCTGCAAAGCACAGGTGATCATCTGAAAACAACATACAAAATATACAAAACTATCTAGTGATTTGGATTTTTACAGCCCATGTGTGTAATAGCCACAGGCTAGATCCAGTAACTTGTGTACTATCTCCAGTGTCTCTATGTCTTAAATATATTGAATCTGTCATAGGTCATGGACTGAGCAAAACCTAAATTCGACAACCAATACAAAAAACTAGGCCTAAAAGGACATCCATATTAAATTAAGTCACCATTCTTCCTTGCTCAGTTTTCTTAAAGTCTATTAGAGGTTTGTCTGAGATGAGAAATGCCCCATGCTTTACATTTAGTATCTCAGGAATAAACACTGAGAGTCCATCTACAAGAAACAATAACACGAGAGTTTCCCATATCACTACATAAAATAGAAGGGTGTTTTACCACATCTGCACCTTCTGACTATTCGACTATTACAAGCAAAAATATGGAAGATTCAGACAAACTACAAAAATCCTACTTTCTAAAGGGCTTGTAGCTTTAGAAAGAAACCTCTTGAATAATTCAAAGATTTTTCTTGCTTTCTAAAAGATTTTGCTTCTGATGTGCTCTGCCATAAACCAGCCTGTAAAATAGCTATAACGTGTACAAATGTGCCACTTTCCTACATCCAGAACATAGTAAAGCCAGCTCTCCTGAGACTCTTAGCTCTATCCAAAAGCATGATGGAATAAAGAACATATACCTAAATAAATATGTGTAGAATATTGTCAGCAGGCTACTTTTTAAAACTTAGATAAAATTAAATTTTAAGACAAATTATTGCAATAGTTAAATAATGAATTCTTACTGGAGGAGTACTTTCTTCTTTTTTCAATATTGGAGGTAGTGGCTTTTTAAAGACGTCTTCTGCAGAAAATTTGTCCTCTTGATGCTCATTCTGAAACATTAAGCGACAATTAAAAGCTTGTTTATAATTCCACTGCTTACATAAGTACTTTTGTTTCTTTCTCTCCATTGTTCCTACTTACAAAGACAAGTATAAAAACAATATTTTTTGTACTTGACTATTTTATTTCCAAGAAAAAAGATAAGCTGGGCAAGCCTGTTATTCATGCATATTGGTTGAATAGAATTCCAACCAGTGGTGGGTTGCAAATCCTGTTCCAACCGGTAAGGTTGGAACAGGGCAGGCGGCATCCTCATGGATGTGCGCAGCATGTGCATGCGTTCAAGCACCTCCACAACGCTCCAGCTGCTCCATGGAGCATTGCGCAGGTGCTGTATGCGCCATGCGCCTGCACAGAAGCACAGAAGTCTTTAAACTCTGGTAAGGAGCTCAGGCAGGCGGGTGGGCCCTCCGGAGCACTGTACCGGAATGGTATCCAGTGCTCCGGCCTGGTCTGGTATGCCCGTACCGGGGCATACCCCCTGCAACCCACCATTGATTCCAGCCCTTTTCCACTTTCAATATTTTATACTTTAAATATGTAGGTTACATAATTCATAACTATGTTCTCATAACCTATAAGTACCTTGGCTGATTTATTTCTGTGTCTTTCTCTTCTCTCTCTATTATCTCTACTAGATGGCTCATCTCTTTCACTTGTCCTTTCTTGGCTTTTATAATGCCTCATACTAGATGGTGGTGGTGATGCTTCTCGACCCATTGGTATTTCTCTCTAGATAAGGGGGGGAGGAAATATATATTTTTTTAAAAAAA